TGATGACGGCTTCTGCAGCCTTGAAACGAGTCTTGCGCAAGTTCCCGGGGCCATAGCCAAGGATTCCATGGGTGTACTTCTGCGGCGCTCCGGCCGTGGGCAGCCTTTCCCGACTTATCCGCAATCGCGTGGCGCCGTAGCCTGACATGCGCTGTCGGCTCCGACTCCGAAGAGCGGACAAAATATGGGCCAAACGAGTTAGTCGCAGTCGAGCAGTCTGAGACCGCAAGACACAGGCACCACCATGCTGCCTGATTACCTGATTGGAGTTCCTGGAGCCTCCTTCAGCCTTACCCGCCTTGAACGGAAGCATTGTTGAGTGGTGAGATTGACAGAGGTTGACTTTGAAGCAACATCGAAGGGTTCGCTCGCCATCCTTTTTCCTCGCTAGGATCTGCCGCCACAGGCCAGAGTAGTGCATGTGCAGGCTCGAGCCTGTCACGACATGTCTGTAGTTCCCACACCAGCGAGATATGAAGAGGGATGCAGCTGCAAGGGGTCAGGATCCTGTGAAGCCTGAGATGGACAAATGATGGGCGAGGCTCCGAGGAGAAGGAGCAGGACCTCGCGCACATGGTCAGTTTGCTGTCGCCGACCTCGTCGGCGTTCTTGACAAGACCCTAGGTCGAAGCGTGCTTTGCTTCCAGTGATTCTTGGCTCAAAACCCGGACCACTCTCGCAAAGCGTGTTTCCTGAGCCATGACCATGACAGGGACCGTGACCGTGGACATGGAGCAGAAGCAGGTGCATGGGCCGCATGATTTCACTCCAAAACTCGCTGTAGTCGCTTGCTCTTCGGATTGGTCCTAAGCTTGTGCACGACAGCTACCACTTGAAACCAACTGCTGTTGCCCATCGCCTGGAGGCCACGTGGCAGCTGACAGCGGAAGAACTGGGAGAAGTGCCCAGGGGCAAGTGTGTGGCCCGCGACTACCGCTGCGGAAATTTCTCCGCACTCATACGTCTCTATCCTCGCGGAGCCGATGGTAGCTCAGATGGCCAGGCCATTGTACAGTATCGCACCACCGGAGTTCAAGCTGCAGATCAACCTGCATTCGTGTTGGTCCACCTGGGCTCGACGAACCAGGTACTGTTACCAGTGCAACCATCTCCTCAATGGACTAACCCAGCACATCTCCCGCAGCCAAGCCTGTCGTCAACGTGGACCGTCACCGTGAGAGTGTTCTCCGAAGCGGAATTCAGCTTAGAATTCCAGCGCCAGCTGCAAGAGCTGACAGTGGCCCGGGATCAGGAGCTCGCAGCAGCCAGGGCAGCCCGAAGGGAGACTGCACAACTCCGAGCTCTGATGGACACAGCGGCCGACGTGGCCGACGGTACGGCCCAGCGTCTGGCAGCGGCTGCTGGGAAGATCCAGGCCTCCTTTCGGAAGTCTGTCTTCCGTCGGCGCGTGAAGGCGGCGCTGGGCGCGATGGCGAGGCAGCAGCGACACGTGAAGCTCACGGCTGCCGCTTCCTGTGTCCAAGCCCTCTGGCGAGCCAGGCAGTTGCGCAGAGAGCGCCGTCGGCAGGAGGATGTCCGCTGGGCATCGGCCACTCACTACGATGCGATCCTCGCTTTCGACTCTTTATCCGAGTTCCTCTCCACGCGAGAGGTCTGCTTCTTGAAAAACGTGGAATCCAAGTTGGACGTGGTCCAGCA